TATAAGTTGAGAAATGTAATGGTTAACTTAGGAGAGAGGCCGACTGATGAAGAGGTGGAGCAGATGATTAGAGATGCTGATTTGGATGGTGATGGTCTAATTGATTACAAGGAATTTGTTAGAATGATGTTGGTTGCATGACAAGTTCACCTTTTAAAGATGTGTTAGAATGATGGTGATGCTTTTAATGAAATAATTGACCCAAAATTCACAAGGATTCATCGTGACGCAATGAACTCTAATTTCCAACATGTTTCCAATCAACCCACCAACATCTAGATTGATAATTCTAGAGAAAAAGTCCAAATTTGTAATTTTATTTTTCACTGTGTTACACAGGTTTCTAATAAAAAAAAATCCATCTTACTTAATGGCCTTTCCTCTCTATTCTTTCCCTTCGTATGGGTCGGTTGCCTCACCATGATTAAAACCCTAAATGTCAATTAGACAAGCCACCTAAAAATATTTTTGCAGGTGCAATGAAGGGTTAAACAGTTCTAACTAAAGTCGCTATTTTCTAAAGATTACAGAGATTTTTGTTTTATTGTCCAGCACGGACATTATATGAATTTTTTTAAAATGCATTTTTTTTTTTTAATTGTGATTAAAAAGTAGTAGTGTATATATAATCACACTTTAATTAGAAGGTGTGATTAAAAAAAAATATATATAATCATACTTAATTAAAAAGTGACATAAAAAATAAATATTATCACACTCAATCAAATTAAGTGTGATTAAAATAGCAATCTAATTTTTTTTATCACACTTCCAATAAAAGTGAGATCTTTTTTTTTACTAAACAAAGGAATTGGTTAAGTTATTGGCAACTAAACAAAATATTTTACGTTTTAATACATTTTGGCTTTTTGGTCAATAAATTTCAATTACAAGAAACCAAAAAATTATTAATATATTTCTTAAGTTTTATTTCATTATATGATTAAGTCATATTTTTTATAAATCGATATGTTTAGATGTTTCTTTCTTGGTTAATCTCATCATGTTTATATTATATCCTAGCCTAGATTACTACATGTGCACATGTAGGAGTGTACAAATGGCCTACGACTTATGGGCAGCCCGAGGTGGGCCCAACCTTATTAGGCCCAAGCCTAAGCCCAACTTGGGACCTTAAACCTAGGCTTGGGCCATCATTTTGAAGTCCGGCCCGGCCCGGCCCGCTCAAGGCCCACTCAAAGCCCGTCCCAAGACCCAATGTCATTTTTAATGAAAATAAATAAATAAAATGTTCAAGCCCTATCCAAGCTCGAGCCAAGGCCCAGGCCCACCCACTGGCCTACCCAAAGCCAGAATACCCCTTACGCCTGGGCCTAGGCCTAAATTTTTGGCTCGTGGGCTGGCCCGAATTTTGGTGAGAGCCCGCGAGATTTGACATGGGCCGGCCCGAGCCCAGGTCTGGGTGGGTTGGGCTGGGCCAAATTTACACCCCTATGCAAATGTTGCCTAACAATATCAATATCGGGATATGTGTTTCTACAATTATTAGGAACATATTGCATTTGTTCTTGATGGAGTTTTTTTTTTTTTGGTTTTTTGTAATTTATTTTTGAATGGAGAATTAACATTTCAAAATTAATTTCTTGCACTAATTGGGCAAGTAAAGGCCAACAATTTGCAGATCAGTTTATATGCCACGTGCAATGTACATTGTCACAAGCAAACCTCAATAATTGATTGTAATGAGTTAGAAAAGCTACCAAGGAGATTTTTGTTGGAGAGGGGGGGAATGATGAAAGAAGAAGACTTCATCTTGTAAAATGGAGCTCCATCACTAAAGTATGAGAACAGTTCAGAAGAATTCCCTATGACTAAATAAACACTATGGAGGCAAGTGGTAATTCAGAAGTATAATCTGAGAATCAATAATTGGTTCCCAACTGACAGTACTCTTCTAACTGTTCTAGACTTTGGAAAGGCATTCTTAGCATTTTCTCTAACAATGAGGACTTTAGAAATCTTCTCCTTAATAATCTGATACTAAAACTTGGATTGGGCGTGGACATTCTATTCTGGTCTGATACTTGGATTAATAACAGATCACTTGCTATATTGTTTCCAAGACTGTTCTCCCTCTCTTCAGCAATCGTATGATTGGCCCATGTTGGAACCTTCTCTTCCGAAGGAATCTGCTTGTTTGGGAGCATGAAAAGCTTCAGGAACTTCTCCATCTTTTAAACAATTTTCTCCCCCAACTTGAGCGTAGTGATAGTTTTCAGTGGAAAATTGACAAGTTTGGTATTTTCTGTTAAATCGTTGGAAGAATGTTGCTCCATCCAAAGTAAAAATTTTCTCAGTGCTGGCTAGAACCTATGGAAAGCTAGAAATAATCTTATTTTCAATCAGCAACAAATCTGCTGGGAAAAACTTATTGATGGTGTGAAGCTTCAAGTGGCCTGTTGGACAAAGACAAATTCAGGATTCTCTTGCTTGTTCACCACTGACTTCATGCTCTATATTCATGAGGTCAGGAAAATCAAATCTAAGAGTAGAATAATATAGCTTCCTGATGTGACTTCCCAAGGAATATATATATTTTTTTTGATGACAGTGTTGTTATTAGTGTCTTAGTTGGCTTCTTGCTTTCTATCCTTGTGCTTATTACAGGCTACTTCATCATCAGGTATGTTCTCCAATACAAGGATTTCAAACCTCTTGATTTCAGCATCTCCAATACTGCTGGAGCTTGCTGATAGGCCAAAATGGGCTCCGTCACCATCGGGTATGTTCTCTGTTTCCTCCATGTACAAGTCTTATGTTGCTGGCCTTGGTCCTTATCTCAGAATCAGTAGAATGGTTTGAAAAACACCATTCCCCCCAAAAGTTCAATGTTTTGGATGGTTGGCATGAAAACACAAAGTGAAGACTGCCGTATTTCTGCAAAGAATTGGAGTGTTTAGTGGCTGAAAGACAAATATTGAAAGACAAATTGAGAGTAATATTGAAAGACAAATTGTAATGTAAACTCTGTATTGAATCCAGATTTGAGGCTCCTTAATATAGGAGTTTGTTACACAAACATGATGATGATACCATGGAATATAATAAGGAAAAAGGTGGAAAAGTGGCCGAAAGATGGCGCACCACCGAAAGGTAATCCTAAGCTGTCACTATAATATATTAATAACTTATATTGTATTCATATACAATTATATACAAGTATATTCATATATTAACAGTGGCAATGCCTTTATTCTTTGCTGTTTCTGCAAGGCTGAGAATGAATCAGTGGTTCATGTTCTGTTACACTGCCCATTTAGTTAGAAAATTTGGTCGGCCTTGCTGTCATGGTGGGGAATTCAATGGGTTTTACCTGGGACAGTTGAGAGTTTGTTGTTTTGGTGGGATGGAGGGTGCTTCAAGAAGCTAGAAAGGAAAATTTGAAGAGCCATTACTTTGGCAATCTTGTGGTCTATTTGGAAGCTTCGAAACGAATGCGTGTTCAAGGGAGTGTAGTCTGATATCTGGGAGCTGTGTGAGCTTATATACATATGTAAATAATAATACTAATAATAATAATAATAATAAAATAATAATCCAGGAGGGCACGTGACGCCCCTAGTCACATGGTGACTCCGTTACTTAAATGACTTATTATTAAAATCATTTTTACCATCCATTTCTTTTTAGAAAAAATATGATTGCAACTATTCGATGAATACATATTTTTTTAATGAATGATTTACACATAGAGATGTACTATAAGTGACGGTATGTGTACGCATATGATCATTTAATTTTAGAAAAAGAAGATTCTAAACCATATAATTGAATTTAAAACATAAAAATTGAATTGAATTTGGAAAATTAAGAAGTTGAGAGATTTGGAGGAAAAAAAAACTTGAATTTAGGGTATTGCCTATGTAACAACTACACGGACATTTTGGAAAAATTTAAAAATTGAGACATCAATCTTAACTTTAACCATCACATATATAATAGTATAAATAGATAGATAGGAGTAAATATAGAAGATAAAATGAATAAATAAGATTATTGGAATTGGATTTATAATGAGCCCCACCAACCCAGTTGAAAGAAGCTATGCTATATTATATTATGATTCATTAGGTGATTATTTTAGCATTTTTAATAAATGAAAACAAACAAATAAACAAAAAGTACTAAAGTCGTTTGTGTGGCAACAAAATAGAGTCCAAGTGACATCAATTATTTAACTAAACCGAACTTGGAAGCATCCTATTCACAGTCGATACCGTGTCCAATGTATTACATTGATCATTTTGGGATTTTCTTTCTAGGAAAATTATTATCTAATTTTGGTATACCATGTTACATTTTTTATGTAATACTTGATGTGTTTAGTTCATAAATTTTTAAAAAAAGAAGATAAAAGATGGGTGAAATGTGCCAACTACATGACATTTTCTATTTAATTTTAAACATAAGTTAGTATTAATGTAAATTGGAAAAAATTAGAAACATGAAGGAATAAAAAATTTCTAGAGCCAAAGTGAAAAAATGGCTGAACATAAAAGGGATAAAGTGTAATTTACCAAGAAAGTATTTATGAAATTATATTAAGATTTTTTTTTCAAATTTCTTTATCTATCTACCTCGAAACACTCACGACTATTCTAGATGATTTAAAATTTTGAAGTGCCATAATTTCAAGACAAAATTTAATGAATGTCAATATTTTGAAATAACGAAACATAAGATTTAAAGACAACGAAATTAAGCAATGCCGTCCAAGTCTAACCCCATCCAAGACTTGCAAACGGCGGTCCCGGCCATCCAGAAAATTCTTAATAGAGTTATAAGCAAGCATTTGTTTGATAGTTAAAGTAACTTTCTTGATGATTAAAAAAAATGAAGGGAACAACACTTATCTACCCTTCCTTCAAAGTATACTCCTTGCATATATATGTGTTGAAGGTTAATGCAATAATATTAGGGCATTCTCAACTACTCTCTCTCTCTCTCTCTCTCTCTCTCTCTCTGGGGTGTGTGTGTGTGTGTGTTTTGTAGTGCAAAAAGTTGACTAAATAACGTTCATAGCAATCATTTAGCAAACAAAGATGAAATATGAGGAAGATGAATTGAGTGAAGAACAGATTGCTGAGTTTCAGGAAGCTTTTTGCTTGCTTGACAAAGATGGAGATGGTAAGCATATGTTTCTCTTTATTTTTCTCTCTCCTTTTTGGTTCACACAAAAATATATATATATATATATATATATATATTGGAAATAAACACATGGTGGGTTGGATTTGGGTGTCTGTTGTGCTTTTTGGTGGGGTTCAATCTAGATATGTTAATATGATTTGAATCGTTATCTTGTACAATACGTCGATTAGATTGTTTAGGCAAAAAAAAAAAAAATGATTAGATATCAATAGCCACATAATTGGATCATATTTGGCTACCGGTAATTGATTAACTTAATTTTTTTGCATGAAAAACGATTATATAAACAGTTCGGATCAGTTCGGATCAGCGAATCCAGAGTGAGCTCACAAAAGTGCATAACATTAAGGCAGAACATACCCCAAAATCCTAATATGCTTAACTTCCAATTATGATTTTCAATAATGATATCGGGATATGTACTGATATCGACGGTATGATATGTATAGGTTGCATCACCATTGAAGAATTGGCCACGGCAGTTAAATCAATTGATCAAATTCCAACAGAAGAAGACTTGCAGAGCATGATCAGTGAAGTTGATGTCAATGGTAATGGAACTATAGAATTTGGGGAGTTCTTGCATCTCTTGGCCACAAAGATGAAGGTGTAACGTCATCTACCTTTTTTTTTCTTCTTCTTTTTCTTCTTTCAGTTGTCATGTTCTCAGTTATGTTATTTTACTGGGTAAATTATATTTTCTAGGCTCTAATTTTTATTTAAATTTCACTTTGGCATTCATCTTGTAACAATTAAGTTATCAAATTTTACTCTGTATTTTAATGTGGCCCTCTTGTTACTCATTGTGGGGATATATTTTCTGAGTACCTACACGTGGCATGGTGACGCCGACGTGTCAGCCGAGGTGCCACATGTCGTGGTAGCTGTGCCGAGGTTATCTTGGCGATGCCGAGGTTGCCTCCGAAGATATCGGAATCCGAGATAAGTGGATAAGGGTTAAGAGTCCTGGAGAAAAGAGAAGACTTTACTAAGATAAGGATAAAACTCTAAGGGAGTTTATCTTTATCTCTTGAGGAATCCAAAGTGAGTACTAAATTGGAGTCCATAGAAGTCAGACTTCTAGTGGGACTTGGATTTAGTAAACTATAAAAGAGAGACACCCCCGTGGGTCTAAGGTATGCAGTTTTATACTCAAGCTTGTGAGTTTAGCACTTGATTATCTTTGAGAGATATACTGACTTGATCATCGGAGTGCCCCCGGGTGGAAGAGCCACCGCCGGAGCTTTTTTCTTTCTGTTACAGGTTACTAAAGCCATCTATTCTGCCGGTGCTCTCCAGCTGATTACTAGGCAGGCAGTGTGGTCGGAAAATCACCCACACAATTTGGCGCTGTCTGTGGGAAATCTTAGAAGAATAGATGGCCAGTAACGGACAGGGGGAAAATATTGGAGGCAACACTCCTGCTGAGAGTGGCAGACCAATTGACCTTGATATTGAAGGAGACAACCACAGTACAGGAAATCATGACCAGGGCCACGGAGAAAGAAATGTCGGCCAGGAGGGCAACGCTTCGAAGAGGACAGACCAAAGTAAGTATTATAATGAAAATAACTTTCAGGTATGGAGGGATAGGTGCCTACGGAGAGATGAGGAAGTAAAAGACTTGGCAAACAAGTTGGCGGACCTACAGTCAGTGGTCAACTTCATGATGCAAAACAATGTTATGCAGCCACCATACCCGCTGCAAGATACGCCGATGCCAGCAATTAATGCCCAGAAGGGAGGAAGGAAAGCAATCCCCGAAGCCCCTCAGCACACCAGGAGTGAAAGGCACTCTCACCAACCTTCCAGGGAAATCGGACGAGAGGAGCCAAGGCAAGAAGAGTCCCAAAGGACACATCACATGAAGGACCTAAGGCCCAAAGAACATCGGAATATTCAAGGTCAAGCACTCTGCTTTGACACAACCCATGGAGAAAGATCGAAACGGGCCCACCACGAGGCCGAAAGTAGTGTGCCAAAAAGATTGAAGTCCAGAGATAGCCGAGCTCCAGGGAGGAGTAAGGAAGACTTGAGGGATTACCTCAAAAGGAGGCAGCAGAATGTTGAAGCCGAGGTGACTTCCGCAGTTAAGCCGAGAACACCATTCTCGGTGGAACTCGACAAATTTAAAGCACCAAAAAGATTCAGTATGCCGAGGTTCCAAATATACGACGG